AAAATGGGCTAAAAGTGTTAAAAACCGGAATTCTCCTTTAAGGCTTCTACAGATTAAATAACTGATTTTTTTTCTTTAAAATGAAGTGCTCTACATTCAGAGCAGGACTTTTCTGGCATATCTGCCACTTTAATGTAAAATTCCCCTCAAAATTCAATCCTGTGCTGCAGTCCTGCCTCCTGAAGCTCCGCCCCCTCCCTCTCTGCTGTGCTACAGCTCTGCCGTACAGAGGAGGCTTTACTATAACATCAAGAGTTATAAGCTAAGCTTCAGAAGGAAACTATGTTGGAATAGTGGTTTCAGTTTCATGAAGGGTTTGTTGTCGATCAAGTTTGTAGAAACCACAACCACATAGTAGATCATAGAAAAAAACAAAGCAAAAACAAATGTTTAACATTTCATAGTTTCTGTCTCCTTTTATGTCCAGTCCACAAACACAGTTAAAGCTCATCGGCACAAAGATGTTCCAGCTTGTATCGTCCATTTGAGGCGCTGTCTGAAACTTCTGTCTCCTTCTGTCGTTCCTAAAAAAGAATATTGCGTCTCCTCAGACAGACTGCCATTTTATCCCAGGTTTCCATCATAACTGATCCTGTGTTCCTTCCTGTCTCAGGTATGGCGGCGGTGTTGCCGAGGACCCTGGGTGAGCTGCAGCTCTACAGGATCCTGCAGCGAGCCAACCTCCTTTATTACTACGAGGCTTTCATCCAGCAGGGCGGCGACGACGTGCAGCAGCTGTGCGAGGCTGGGGAGGAGGAGTTCCTAGAGATCATGGCCCTGGTCGGTATGGCCAGTAAGCCGCTGCATGTCCGCCGCCTGCAGAAAGCGCTGCGGGACTGGGTCACCAACCCCGCCATCTTCAACCAGCCGCTCACCTCGCTTCCCGTCTGCAGCATCCCCGTCTACAAGCTGCCCGAGGGTTCCCCCACACTGCTCAGCGCTCAGGACCGCACCAACACCGCCAGTGTTAAGATTCCCAAAGCCCTCGCTGCCGCCGATGCGGGGAAGCTGGACGTGGCAAGAGATAAAGTCTCAAGCGGGTCGCCGCTGCAGGGAGGCAGCGAGGTGCGGTTCTGGTCAGGCCACAGCAACGACAGCGAGCACAGTCTGTCTCCATCAGATCTGGGCTCACCCTCCTCCCCCAGAGACGCCATGGAGGCCTTGGACGCCGCAGCGGTGCAGTCGGTGCTGGAGTGCGTGGACAGGATGGCGCCGGGCCTTCCTAAGACGGACCTGGCTGAGGTCAAAGATCAGCTGAAGAACAACAAGAAGCTGGCAAAGATGATCGGACACATCTTTGAGATGAGCGACGACGACCCGCGGAGGGAGGAGGAGATCCGGAAGTACAGCGCCATCTACGGACGCTTCGACTCCAAGAGGAGGGACGGCAAACACCTGACGCTGCACGAGGTGGTTGACGGAGACTGACGCAGTCCTGGGGACCCGGGGAAGGTGGTTCTCTGTGTAACCTGACTGGTTTGTGTTTGATGTGCAGCTCACGGTGAACGAGGCCGCGGCGCAGCTCTGCATGAGGGACATGGCTCTGCTGACGCGCCGCGACGAGCTGTTTGGACTCGCCCGGCAGATTTCCAGAGAGGTCACCTACAAATACACCTACCGCACCAGCAAGTAAGAGCCGCCTGCACCCGTTACTCCTCTATCTCACCAGCTTCCTGGGAGCGGCTAACTTTGTCTGTGGTCGTGTTCCTCTGCAGGTCTCGCTGTGGAGACAGAGACGAACCGTCCCCGAAAAGGATAAAAACCGAGGTGAGATCAGAGTGATTCCATCCCACCTCTGAACCCTAAACTAGGACTAGTCTCCTTTAGTCTGGATTCTGCAGATCCGATATATTTTAAAACCATCAAGGCCTCGAGCTTGAATGTCAAATTAAAGCTCCACATTTCTGAAGTTCAGAGCAAAGTAGATCTGGCAGATGGAGCTCCTCTGTGAGCTCAGAGCAGCATCAGCCTGGACCGGAGTACAAAGCCGACTCTCAGTGCTGAGATCCGGTTCTGAAAGGCTCCTCTCAGACTGCGAGCCGATGATGGAAGCCATGTGGCGGCCGGCGACTCTGGAGAGTTTCAGAGAAGCAGATGAACCGACACCTGCTCAGAAAGAAAAAAAACATGCAACTCCTGCACAGATTCACAGCTGCAGCAGGAATGAGACACTTTTAAAGCGACAGGCCTCTAATTCTGCAGTAAACTGATAAAAAAAAGGGAAAAAAAAACAAGAAAAGCTAAAATAATGAAGCCACTCATTGTGATAGAGACTAAGGGAATGTTTCTGTGCTTCAGGAGAACTTCTTCGACATCCAGGAGGCGCTACAGGCCATCCACATGAGGCAGGAGATGCTGAGGGAGCAGCTGGCCTGCGCCAAGTCCAAAGGGGAGGAGACGGTCGGACGCAACCTGCAGGTAGGAGGAGCCATCTGAAGGAAAAACTGAAAGACAGAAACTATTGAAAATATTCAAACCTGACCAATCAGATTACATCCAGGAGGGAAGCCTTCCAGTAAACACTTTCATAGATGAATGAGGATCTCTGACATCTCTAATACTGCAGAATCAAATTTTCACATTAATGTTGGGTGTTTAAGGGTTAATGCCTGACCTCCTTTTATTTATAATAAAAAAAATTATTAAAATGATTCCCAAACTCATAAAGCAGATATGATGCTTTCTTTGATAGCCATTATTAAAATCTGATGCAACATATTGCCTTAAAGTCGTAGGGAAGTCATATTTAAATGTCAAATCATTCTGGCTTAAACATGCATATAAATGTACTCTTTATCCGACCATATTGTCCCAAAAGTTAGAAAATTTCTATTTTAAAAAAATCCTGTCGTAAAATCTGTGGGTTTTTTCCGTTATCTTCTGCAGGCCAGTTAGTTCTACGTCAGCTTGTACCCTAAATTCGGCCAATCATATATCAACGGTCATCTGTCAATCAAATTTTTTCGGTCATAGCATCTTGATTCACATGTCGCAGCTAATATATGCAACGGATTTGCTCCGCATATCCATCTGGAAACCTTCCTTTGAAGTAATTTTGAGAAGGGGCGAAAATACTGGTTAGCTGATTGGCCTATGTTGGTGATAGACGGGCCAAATAAACCAATCAGATCAACGAAGCATATGACGTACTAACAAAGCGAGAAGAGCAAAAAGTTGGGAGAAGAGCAAAAAG